GTGGGGCGCAGGGGTGCTGGGCGCGGAGCCCCGCGGAGGGTCAGGGGGTGGGCGGCAGCCAACTGTGGGGCAGGAGGTAGGAGGCTGCGGGGCAGGAGGTAGGAGGCCTGGCCCGCAAGGGACACCCCCGCGTGGGGGCACGGGGACCGTCTTCGTGGGCTCGCAGCATGTTCTCGGGGGCGCCCTAAACCCTGGCCCGAGGGCCACCGGGTCTTAGGCCTGGTCCCTCGAACTAGGGAAAGATTGGTGGGAGGACGCCCCGGGAGTTGAGGGGGAAACTGAGGCAACAAGATACTCACCTCTGCAAACACCCTCCCCTGGGCCTTATGCTGCTGGGGAGGAGGGGCTGCGGGGAGGCTGCACGGGGCCCCCCTGTGGCTTTACTCCCGGTGGTCTTCGCGGCCTCCCACCCCTCCCCAGGCCCACTCTGACCCTAGATCTCCTTCCCACGAATTTAATCTGACCGCCCCTCCCCCTGCGCCCCCTGGCGGCCGGCGCCCCCTAAAAGAAGCGCGAGCACCTGTTCCCGCTTCCGTCCAACAGGCAAAACAGATGCTCAAACCTCCCAGCACAGCTCACCCTCCGCGCAAAGGCCACCGGGGACACAAGGCATCGCCGCGTTTCCTGGCGCTGCCTGCTCTGGGTGACAGCTGACAGGGAAGCAAGTAGCCAAGGCCTCCTGGGTTCCACGTAGTCCAGAGAGTGCTGCTGTAACATTGACCGCGTGCACTGCACACAGACCCTCCTGGCCGCTGCTTCCTAGTGCGACTTGCCTGGCTGCTCTTTAAATACCTGCCAGGCAGTGGCTTTGAGAAATGCCTGTGCGAACACTACGCTGCCAGTGCAAACTCTGGCATCGAACAGTGGCAGCAAAGGCAACAGAAATAGGTAAGTGTCCATCTCATACCCTTATGCAGCAACCTACAGGCGACATTGTCAAGTAGACTGTGTGTGTCTGGGGGGGGGTGCTGTTGGTTTGCTTTTACTGTTCTATCACACTCAAATTTTTCTTTAGTCAACACTGCAAACCACCCCTTGTAAACATCCCTCCTTTGTTTCCAGACCAGGGGTAAGTCACCCCCAAGTAAGTAGCTATGGAAACGCAGTGCAAGTCCCTTGGCTGTATATATATCCCAGGAATACCAAAACATCACGTTACACAGGCTGGGCTCATCCCTGTTAAATGCTACCTAAGGTACAGTCTCAACGCTTATTCTCTGCAGCTAGCTTTTTCTTCGGAATCCAGATCCCAAATAATTTGCAACATTGGAAGTACAGCTGCAACCCAAGATTTGTAGGCAGTGAATGCCTCCATGTGACACAGTGCCAGTCCCTTCAGGACTCTTTCACTGCCCTCGCCTCAATCAAAGAATTTCCACACTATCTCCTATTCCAACCCCTCCTTCTTCTGACCCTGAGGCAGTCAAGTGGTAGAATTTAGCATAGCAGCCCCATTACTTGAAGTTTTTGCCAAGATGCATTTTAGGGTGAATGTTGCTCCCTTGTGTAAAATGAGAACATTGGCACAGATGAGCTGCAAGTGACCTGGGAACTACCTGCCTAACCACTTTGTGTGCGAGAGCTAAGTTCACGGTTCCATATGTTAAGAGACTTGCAGGTCACTAGTGTTTCTTCAGTCAAACCTCATCTTATATCACTAAAGTATTTTCTAATGCTGATTCTTATGTTTGAATATAATGTCTCCTTGAATCAGTTATAAGGCTTCATTAAGGTCTAAATAGTCTACTTTTTAAAAAATATATATCTTTATTGATTTCAGAGAGAGGAAGGGAGAGGGAGAGAGAGAGAATCAATGATGAGAGTCACTGATTAGCTGCCTCCTGCACGCTCCCTACTGGGGATCGAGCCTGCAACCCAGGCATGTGCCCTGACCAGGAATCAAACCGTGATCCCCTGAATCATAAGGTCGATGCTCAACCGCCGAGCCATGCTGGCTGTGCTAAATAGTCTACTTCTGGTTTTTAGCAATGCTCATGTAGTTATCTGACACCCTGATGTAGTCTTTTCTAGAATGTTCTGGCCAAAGAGACTGGATATTCAGTACCAACAAGCTACTTTCTTTCCAGGTCTCCATTTCCCGATCTCAGCTTTGTCCTCTTGCCTCTATCCCTCCCCCATCCCAAGCCCAATGGTGAAATCATGGACTGGGCCAGTCTTGCTACCTTCCCCATGCTGCTCAGTGGCAGGGCCCCATTCTCAGTAACGTGAGGTAGATCTAAAACATCTTAAGCAATGCTCACCAAATGCTCTGCTCGAGCTCAGAACTTAACAGCAATGGAAAGTGGGATTAAAAAAATGCATTAAGCATACATTAGTTTTGGGGTTGGTCAGTGGCAAAGTTTTAGGGATGCCATATAGCACCGGTAGTAATGCTTTTCCTGCAGCACTGAAGACTGTGAGATTATTGCTACCAGATGGTCAAGTTCCAGGGAAAAGCAAACTCATGAGAATTTCCTGAGGCCTGTACCTGCAGACTGCGCCCAGGGAGAAGAGGAGCTACACCCAAACATTCCAGAATATTTACACTCTCTGAACTAGCAACTGTTTTTAGCAGCTCATGTCAGAAAACAGCTAACTCCACAAATCTAGACTCAAATGACATTGATTATAAGCTCTCTGGACATTAGAAAAGTAAGCTTCAACCAACCAAGAATGAGAAAAATCACAGGTGGTAGGAAAGAAAATAATATTTTATCAACATGCAATTTTATCTTCAATAGTGTAGAAAAACAGGGAGAATTCTAGCTCTTACCTGGATCTGCAGTCTATTTAAAGTAGAGCACCTGACAGATGTTAGGGAATCACTAAAGATAACCAAGCTAACAAGTCCCCACCAGGACACCAAAGTGATCTCTGACCACCACACTAGTCGGCTGGCTCTTAGCCAAGAGTACTAACCTCTAAGGGGAGTGCTAGTTTACCCAGAGAAGTCTCCGAAAGACCTAAACGTGAAAGTTACCTTCCTGATGGACTGATACCTCCCAATTTCCTACCCTAAGGATCACTTAAAAACTTTTTTGGATGTTTCTGTTGACTCTTCTCTCCTTTTTTATAGGCAATATGATGACATCAATTCTCCACTTTACTCCTTGAGAGAGTTGCCCCTGATTACTGAGTATGAGGAATGAAAGCCTCTTATACTTTAATGTACTTAGGGTCAGAAGGAATATCCTACTTGTTTTTAAATGAGAAATACAAAGTACAATGTCCAATAATCAAGAAATAATGACATTGGCTGGGAGGGTGCAGAGAGTGCAAGGAAGTGAAGGTCTCCTGCTCTGTTCGCTCTGTTCATTCTCAGCAGTAAGGCAGAGCGCAGCGCCCACTGCCAGGGTGGCCACACTCTGCTACAAAAAGCTCAACTAGTACACCAGGAGGCCAGGAATTACTTTAATTTTTTTTTTTAAAAAAGTTTAAACGGCAACACAACTGTAAAGTTGGTACATCACAGAAACAAAGGTCTTTGCAGGCAACACTGATTGGAAATAGCAAAACACTTGGTTGGTGAAAAAAATGAAACTCTAAATTATATACAATAGTAGCTAAAGGTGATATTGAAAAACAGTCTTATTTACTGTGATTCAAGATTTAACTTGCCATTATCTATTGCTTATTTATTCAGGGTTGTAAATAATACTTATATAGAGACATAGAGATGTGTAAAAATGAAACATTGTGAAAAAAATACAATTTTTCAATTTTATATGAAACTCAAAGTATAAGTTTTGTCCAATATGGAATGTACCTATGTTTGTTTATATCAGGGCTCTAAAATCCATTTAAAAACTTTTTGTTTTTAAAAAAGAAACAGCTGACCCACCATGCAAGTTCGCTGTAAATCTTGTTGGCTCAAAATGAGCATTTTCGGGTGAGGTCTGTTTTGTTTGCTCAAAGTCTACCGTGATTCTGTAGAGGTTGTACTGGCCCAGTCGTGGAAAGAGTTTCCATGAAGAGTCTGATGGCAGCATCTGGATGAGGGACAGTCTGGGTGATGGGAAGTGAGAAGAGGAGGGAAGAGCCCAAATCCTTATGAAGGATGACATTCAGTTGTTAAATTTTAAGGGGTATCCGATGGCTTTTTCCAGGCACTCAACTAAAGAGCCAGCGGAAAGAAAATCCCTCTCTACTTCCACAAACTTGATGTAGATAGATTTGGGGGAGACTCCAGGATCCACAATGCAGTTCTGAGACAAAAACCCATTAATACCAACCCAATCTTTGCTGAAGGTTTTGGTATTTGCTTGGAAATGTAAAAATAGGCATTGCTGCAGAGTCCTAACCTCAGCGATCCCGAGGTAGCAATAGATAATTCGGGTGGGTTCCATTTCTACCTGTAATGAGGCTTGTGCTGATAGGGTTTCCAAGTCAACCCTGCCCTCCTTTCCTGGGTCCAGGGCACTCTGCTCCATATGGGGCGAGGAGGGCCTCTCCATACATTCTTCATAGCCAATGGCATAGAGCCCCGGGCTTTTGGGAATGCCTCCTGGCAATAAATACTGAACGACGTTCCCCCCAGTTGGTTTGGAGTGGGCGATGGGTATCCAGTCAATTTCCATGTGCAGCTCCAGGCACCTGGCTTCACTAATAGTGATCTCTAAAAATTTGTAGTAAACATTTTTCCAGTTCATTTTCTGCACCCGGGTCATAATGATCCGTCCCTCGGGCTTCTCGGAGTTGAAGTACTCGCGGAGTCGCTTGCCAAGGGGCACCTGGGAGCTGATCTCAGCATAATGGTAGCGGATGTCCTCTTTCCAACGGGTATTATAACCAATCCCGAATATAGCCAGTTTATTAGAAAGATGAAGCCTTGAAAAGTCTGTCCAGCTCTGAAACAGTTCCCATTTCAACTGCACTGATTCCAAAATCTGGACAATGTTTTGCATGATGTCTCTCTTCCTAGAAAGAGAAATAAAAAATCAAATTCCTCAGGTGTCCAGATCAGCACTGTCCAACAGCACTCTGCAATGATGGAAATATTCCCTATCTGTGCTGTCCAACATGGCAGCCATTAGCACTTAAAATGTGGCTGGTGTGAGTGAGACATTTTAAATTATAATTTGAAATTACAGTTAAATAAACACATGTGATTAGCATCTTCCATATTGGACAGGGCAGGTCTAGATAACCATAGTATTAAAATCTAAAAAACACTTTCCCCTAGGAAGTTTCTAGGAATTAATAATAAACTGCTTTCCATTACTTATGGCTGCATTAATCTTAGCAACTATTGATACATGAGACCCTGGGACTTCAGAAACCCATTCTAAGTGTTTATTATAATGCGCATGATGGCCTTTGGGCCTAACAAACTCCAGCATCACTTAAAATAATGAACACCTTAATCTCTGAGCTGGAAATTCTGAAAGTTCAGTAATTTGGGCCGATGCATGCTTGCTGCAGGAAAATAGACAACTGGAAAATGACACTTTCTTATATTTATCTGAAATTCATTACGACTCCCAAATTGAAAAGAAGTGTTAGTTCAGACACAGAATTAAGATCTGAGAATTCAGATGGAAAAGGTCCATATCAGGCTTAGCTTTTAAGAGAGAAAAATTCAAGTTAATAAGCTCTGGCTGATGAGGCTCAGTTGGCTGGAACATCGCCTTGTGCACCAAAAGGTTGCGGATTCAATTCCTACTCAGGGCGCAAATGGGAGGCAACCAATCGATGTTTCTCACTCTCTCCCTTCCTCTCTCTCTAAACTCAATGAAAAAACATATCTGGAGTGAGGATAAAAAAAAAAATTAAAATAATCAAGATAATGAATTGAGACTGTTCTAGAAAATATTTTATAAAGGGGGAAAAAAGTAAAGAAATTTCTATTTTCATTTGGATAGTTAACAGAGTTCAGACAGAGGAGGCAGGAAATTATTTTTGCACGTGCTGCTGAACGCATATTACTGTAACTGACCTCATGATTCATATATATATATGGGATATGCAATTACAAGTTTGCTTCTCAGCTAAGGCAAAACTTTGATACTAGAGGATGGAAGTTTGTTAAATATTAACTTATCAACAAACTATTACCCTCTAAACAATTACAGACTTAAGCAACAGAAACACTCAACTACCACTCAGATACAATCAAGCACATACAAGAAAGACCATGTGCCCGTTTACTAATAGCTTCCTGGGAGGAAACTTCCTGTTATATTATCAAATCTTCCAGGGGAAACGCTTCAGGAGCAAACTGGGGAATTTCCTATGCCACCATCCTCAGCCTGGCCTCTGACTCGCTGACTTTCTTTGTGAGATGACAAAGAGATGACACATTTTGCTATCAGCTGCTTCTTGGGGCCAAAGCCTGTCCTGGATTTACCCTCCACCCTTCAGTTTGTCTAGAAAGTTTCTCAAGTGTCAGAGTGGCTATCTAGATGAAGTCACTGCGTTCCTGGGGACCTGTCCCTCTTCTCAAAGGACACAAAGGCCCTTGACCACTTTTCTAATATTTCTACTGTGCCACCTATGAAGTTAAGATATAGGACCATGTTTCTGCATCGGTCAATGCTTTTAAAAAAACCAAACCTATCTTTCACAGCCACCATCCTTCCTTCAAAGTATCTTTTGAGATATTTTACTGATCTCAGGGAGGACTAGGCCGAGGAGCTGGGATGGAAGGCAGGGCTTTTTGTCTGCTCGCTGATGTATCCCCAGGCCTGACATATAGCAGGTACTTGATACATGTGTTGAATAAATGAGCAGAATAGGTGACTCTTCTTCATGGATGAAGGATGGTATTTTACTACACGTATGTCAGCTAGTTCAGGCTGACCCCACCTGCAACACACTGAGAAAGAAATCCAATGCCCAAATGAATGACTTTACTCAGCACTGTCACAGGCCTAAATCATCAGCAAGGAATAGCACTGAGGAAACTGTTGCACTGGAAAATAAACGGCTTATCAGGAACCTCTCTGAAATCTCTCACCCTGTGAGCTGACGCCCGGAGAAGGGGCACCGCAGGCTAAACGTTTCTGCAGGACCTATTCAGTTTCCTGCCCTGCTGATCAGCCGGAAGCTCCCTGGGCTTAAGACTCATATCAGCTTTTTGAAGTTACGGGGGCACAGTGAGAACCAGACCCAGCTGTTTAAATGATCCTTGAGAACTGTCACATTTCCTGATTTTTGAAATCGCAACCTTAGGAAAAGTTCGGATGGTTTGAGGTTGGTGACACCAATTCTGTGAAGTTTGGGTTTATCCCCGGTTACATCACCTGGGCCTCCTCTGCAGGTCCCGAGTGGTTAAGATGGGACATGATAGTGAAAGACACGATGGCCTCTCTGGAGAAGAGGGCTCTGAATGTATGGACTTGTAAAGGCTCATTTTTAAAAATACTCATCAAAGTTACCCTTCCTTGGGGATACTTTGATGCCCTAATTTTAAAAGAGAACTACCTTTCAACAAGAGATGGCCTCAAACTTACTGATGTAAGTCATAAACTTTTTTGAGGAGTAGGAAATGGTTAGAGTTTGGGGGAATAATTAATTATTGATCCCTAAACTTTCACCCTTGCCCCAGACATGGAGTCAGCTGGCACTGGGGATTCTTTGGTTCCAAAGGGATATTCTGGAAAAGGAACACACATTTGAAAGGGGTGGTGGTGGTTTGCTGAGTGAAAATAGCTAGCGGCATTCCTTCACTGTGTTGCTTGTTGTCAAGCATGGCCCTCTCCGCCTTGCCTCTTCCGTTTCACCTTTGCTCCATCTCTCAAGGATCAGGATCATGGGTGTGAGTGAAATAAACCAGGACAAGTGGGAGCCACGGATGCTCCACTGTCACCAGGTGCAAAAGATGGCGTTCCTCACTCTCCTCTAATATCTTTCAATATATTCTCCTCAATAATTAAATCTCATCCGAGACTTAAAGTTATTTAACATAGTATCACTGGAAGCTCAGAGAACTGTGATGTCCTTACAAAAATGGTAACTCCAGACTCTCGGGGAAAGATCAGATGATGGGAGTCAGTGGAAGAACCCTGGTCTTTCAACCAGCAACTGCTTTCCTTTCCAAATATATAACTAGGTATTCTAAGAGCTTGCTTTTTGGTTCCCAAAATGTAATATAAGAAATTCAAGTGTCCCTCTAGCTCTCCCATCATTTCACCTAACACCAGATAAGCTCAGGGTCCTGTGGCTCATCTTTCCATCTTATTTAAACACCCAGGTGTCCACATCCACACATAGGCAAACACCACAAACATGCTTATTTTCATGTAACATATTTGTTTCTTCTTGTATATAAAATTCTCACCATTTTAGGTTAACCACTGGAAAACTTCGGCTGAGAAAAGAGTTAGATGCACAGACATGCTTCCCAGGGAGGGGGCCGAGGAAGCATCTTTCCTTTAAACTGGGATGCGCACACTGTAGAAAGGGGAAGCATCTACTTACTGTGCTTCTTCAGAAGACTCTTGCTTTATTTTTAATGTTCTCTTTGTGACAGGTATTTCATCTGAAAAGCAAAGTTTTGGAAGCAAGTTATATTTTCCTAAGTGGTGGCACTAAGTAGCTATATGTTTACCTTTCGTTCCATACATTCCAATGCAAGGACTTCATTCTAGTCTCAAACACTGCCCAATGCCAGATTTATAAATATAACTCTTATATAATGAGATGCATACATTTATATGCAAGATCAGAAACCAGCTCTACAAGTATAAAATTCTTCAAGGTCACCAGCAGATTTCTAGCTAGGAGCTTAAAGCTTAATTTCACTGCAAACATGATTTTTAAAGGAACAAGAATGAAAATAATTCTGTGCTATTTATATTTTCTATGTAGGTTTTACAGAGGAATTATTTCCCCAATATCAGGATCAACATATTCTGCATGTTATTTTTTCCCCAAAGATTTGGATGACTTAACTCTCTGTGGCATAACCAGAGTTATGGGATGCCAAAGTAATTTAGACCTGTTACTGTTTTGAAATTAAGAGGGAGCGATCACTTAGTACCTGCCCCTTTTGTTCTTCCAATCTTTATTTATTTTTTAAAAATATTTTATTGCTTTGTTTTAGAGAGAGAGGAAGGGAGAGGGGAGAGAGAGAAACATTTATGGGTTGCCTCCTGCACACACCCCGACTGGGAACTGAACTGGCGAC